CTGCACTGGAAAGACTTCATCAAAAGATTGACAACATGCTCACTGATATAATCAATGAACACAAGCTGAGAAGAGAAACCACAGAGTCTGGCAATGGTAAACTAGAGGAGGAAGATCTAGTTGATGTGCTGCTAAATCTTCAAGAGTCTGGTGATCTAGATTTTCCTCTAACCACTCAGAACATCAAAGCCATCATCTTGGAATGTCCATACAAGAGCTTGATGCAGCCAAATAATTAATTTTGATAAATAATAAAATTACAATAACCTCAGGGTACATAATACTAATATTCTGATTTTGGAGCTGCCATATCTTTTCTTTTCACTGCATTAGGTTTCACCTTTTGCATTTTTACTTTGTCCATCGTTGAAGTTTCACATTGAAACTCTTTCCTTCTCTCTTTCCAGGATATGTTTACTGCAGGCGGTGATACTTCATCGACAACCATGGAATGGGCTATGTCAGAACTGATAAAAAACGCAAAAATGATGGATAAGCACAAGCTGTAGTAAGGAATGTCCTCAAAGGTAAGAAGAAAATAGAAGAGAAAGACATAAAAGAAGTCAATTACTTGAAATTAGTTATCAAAGAAACTCTGAGGTTCCATCCTCCTGCTCCTTTACTACTGCCAAGAGAAGCAAGGGAAAGATGCGAAATAGAAGGATACGAAATAGCTATCAAGACTAGATGCATCGTTAACGCATGAGCAATAGGAAGAGTTCCAGAATACTGGAATAATCCTGGGCGCTTTGAACCAGCAAGGTTTCATAATTCTTCCATCAATTTCAAAGGGGCAAACTTTGAGTTCATCCCATTCGGAGCTGGTTGGAGGATGTGTCCAGGCATCTCCTTCGGTATTGCAAATATCGAACTTCCACTTGCCTTGTTTTTGTATCAATTCAATTGGAAACTGCCAAATGGGCTTAGACCTGAACAACTTGACATGAGAGAGTCCTTCGGAGTAAATGTTAGGAGGAAGAATGGCTTGCACTTAATAGCCACACCTTATGTTCCTTTTGCTCCTTTGTCAAAGTGCATTCAGCAAAAACAGAAATGCACCTGGAAGAGAACTTCCTGGTGTCCAACCAGCTGAAAAACTTGAAGCACCTCTAATGATTATAGTCACTCTTTGCTACAATTTTCTTTTGAATAAAAGACAGAATTAAACACAGAGATGGAAACCAACAGCACATACCCTGCACAGATACAGGATAATGGTACAAATTAGTTCTATTGGAAAGTGAAAATGATAAGCTTTTATGAATGAGCTAAAACTGGCTTCAGACCTTGATCCCAACACAGATAAATCAAACTATATATATACACTTGTTTGCTTCTTATTTTATTACTTTCTTTGATTTTAGCACTGTTAAAGTCATCCTTAGATATACTTACACATAGTCTTTAAATCAGACAAAACAGCAGTTCATCTGACCATTGACGCAGAACAACATTGAACCCCCACCTGCAGGTTGAACAATAAAAGGTACAATTTTCCATCAAATATATGAAATTTTATGTTCATGCAGAGCCAGGAAGAGGTCAGATGTTAAAAAAGGAGTCCCTGGGCTGCCCAGAAATAGAGAAGCTACCTTTGCTCAAATTTCTTCATCCGTTAAAGCAGCAATGCCAGCTATAAAGAGTTTGCAAAACACTCAAAGGGGGTGTTGACGACAACCTCAGGCAATGGATCAATGCTGATTGGTTTCAATGAGGTCAATCACTTGATTCTTCCATAGCAAAATCTGAATATATTCCACTTGGAGATGATAGGAGGATGCCTGTATGCAAATTTTCCAATATCCCAAATATTAAATTACTGCTTGCTCAATTGCCATACCACTGTCAGTGGAAGCTTCCAGATATAGGATCAAAGCAGGAAATTTTGACATGAAGAAAAGCATTGTAATGGCCTGCACAAGAAGCAAGGATTTGTACTTAATGTCTAGCCCTCACACTCCTTACTTTTATGAGAGAAAGTAAAAGAAATAATGTTATTATAGAAACAGATATGGGAGTTTACCCAAGCTTTAAGTGACCTTCGGGCAATTTATTTATGCCAATCTGGTTGTATGCTGCAATAATTATCTTAATAACAGGAAACTACTTGACTCATATTTCGCAATTGAATGCGCTGTTATGATAGGACTAAAATCACACAGTAGAGGGTCATCCGTGTTATTTAACTAGCACTTGCCAGTGAGTAGAATCTCCCAGATAGGAGAAAACCAGAACTTATCATGATCAGTGTGTTTAGAGGAATGGTTAAAACAAAGGAATGATATGCAGCTACACACACAGAGATGAAATAAGTGGGGAATTATATAAAAGACAGGAATAAGTAGAGTTAAGTAAATAAGGTGATAGCATTAGGCAACATGTCAGAGACATTTAAATTTGCATTTACATGGGCACAGCCATGGACAAAAAAAGTGAAGATTTATGTAGAATAGAAGTTTTTTTTTTTTTTTTGAAGAGCAAAGAAAAGAATTACTAGAGTTAACTAATAAGGTGATAGCATTAAGCAACATGTCAAAGAGATTTGTATCTGCATATATATGGGGCGCAGCAATGGACAAAAAAAATTATAACTAAAGCAATTTAAATACAAATTCTCTGTGAAACTTCAAACATGGCAAATATCAAAAACTCAAACATAGCAGATGTGATCTGACAAAAAGTGGTCCTCATTAATAAAACATATTCTCAAGAAATCAAAAAAACATGTTTGTAGACAATCTGCCTCCATCTAACATGTAAAATACTTAAATGAAATTAATTAAGTAACAACAAGGGATGGTTTGATTCAACTATCAACAATAGGAACTTTCCTTCACTTCAACTAAAATAGTTGTCTTAATTAGTTTATACTCTTAAATAAAATTACACTCCATGGTGCCAATTTGACAATACCTGAGCCTCAGAGCATATGGAATTCTACAAGTTATATCAAAATGTCTTGCCCTCCTTTTCTGGTCTGAATCTGATAGTTTTGGATTTATCAAAAGCATCTGGCATCAGGTGTCTATCTTCCAGCTTTTTGAATAGGATCATTGCCAATTGATCTTTACCACATTGGCAAAGTCCATTGTGGAGCTCAGATAAATTACCTGAATCAGGAACCACTGATCTATCAATCATATCATTCAATACCTGCACTGCTCCATCAAAATCCTCATTCTTGCAACAGGTAGAAATCAACATATTAAAAATATGTTCATTTGGATGGAAACCACTCCTGACCATGCTCTTGTAAATCTGGAATGCACGGTCAGAGTTCTTCCTGAGACACTGCCCGCTAATAAGGGCAGAAAATGTTGAAGCATTCGGACTTAAGTTCTCTCTATCAAGGTCTTTAACCAGATAAGCTGCCTTCTTTGTCTTACCCTCTTTGCATAGTCCCAGTATCAATGCATTGTAAGTCAGTATGTCAGCCTTAACTCCATTCTTTGACATCTCCTCAAAAAGCCTGTTGCCCATCTCACTATTACGTGCTTGGCTGTACCCATTTATCAAAGTATTGTAAGTTACAACAGTTGGAGCCACATTCAGGGCTTTCATCTCATTGAAAACCTTGTTTGCTTCATGTAAGTTGTCTTCCTTACAAAAACCATTTATAAGGGTGTTATAAGTAACCACATTTGGAAGCACACCATCCTTCTCCATTGAGTTTTTAAGCTTCATAGCCAAGCTCATTAGACCCTTGTCAGAATGCCCTCTAATCAACGTATTGTAAGATGCAATGGTAGGACTAAAACCAACAATCTCCATTTCTCTCAACACCTCCACAGCCTTCTCAAGCTTTCCTGACTTGCAAAATGCATGAATAACCATATTGAAAGTGTATATATTGGGAGATATCCTGCAACGCTGCATCTCTCTGTAGAATCCCAAAGCAATATCCACTCTATGTAAATTAAGCAACGAGCTCAAATATGCATTACAAGACTTAACAGTAGGGAAAAACCCATAATCCTTCATTCGACAAAAAGCATCTGTAGCATTCCTAAACTTATTTGTGTGTGCATAAGTCTTGAACAATAAATCAAATACACGAGGAGAAGAATCACATATTCGATAAGAATACAGAATCGAATCAAACAACTTAGCCGGGAATTCCAATGAACCAGACGCAATAATACTCCTCAAGACAGATTCTGCGGATTTAAACTTCTGGTTTCTGGTTAGAATGTGGAGAATCATTGACCGAGTTTCAAGGGAATGTGAAGTGGGTTTTTGAGTTTGAACCCAATTGAAGAACTCAAGAGAAAGAACATGGTCCTTTTGAATCCTCAACAGAATATGCTTAACCCTAAATGGGGTCAAATGAGTTGACAAAGCATTGAGCTTATCCCAATCAGAGTGAATAAGGTGGCTATGTGCAACATTCACAAAGTCAAGGTCTTGACCTCTGGGTTCAGGGATTGTTCTGAAGGGTATTGGAATTGGATACCAATTCCTTCTCCTTGAAATCCCATCATTGAAGGGTTTTAAAGAGCTGGGTTTTAATTTAACAGAATCAAGTAAAGTTGAGAATTGACGACCTGGAAAATGATTATTCATGAAACAGCCAGATAACAGGAAACTTCCAATCTAACCGCTTCAAGAGACCGCGAATAAAACTGAACGGCAGTAGACTAAATGGGGAAAAAATGGGCAGCTCAAATTTTTCTTAATCAACTGAAGACCACCATGACTTGTTGAACGCAGCGACTGAAGTAGTCAGAATTGAGGAACAAAAGAGTTTTAGAGAGGTTTAAATCGAGAAAAAATATAAATGGAAATGGGAAAGACAAAGGGTTGGACTTTGAGTTGGGCTTTAATGGGCTTGTAAGGTTACCCGTTGAATCACCGCTACCGGGCTTGTGAAATAAAATATAATTTGCACTGTGGACTTTGCACTGTGGTTTTGAATATAAAATTTTTAAGTTACACGTGCAAAAACAATTAACCTATTACCCTCTTATTTCATTTTTGTTTAAAGGAAATTAATTTATGTATTAATTTTGAGCTACACATATACTCATTACATCGTATATCAATAAATCTCTAACATCTAAGTAGAGATTAAAGTGTAGTACAAATTTTTCTTGTTTCACAAAGGCTTTATTTGCCATATAATCAGCTACTTTATTGCTTGCCTTAAAAACATCACGTTTCCACCTATCATTGGCTTGCATTAGATGTTGAAGGGTTCAAAAAAAGTCTATCTTAAGTCTCTACATTTATGTACTTTGTTTAATTTAATCTCTATACTTAAAATCAACACAATTTAATCTCTTAATTTTAAAAATTATTTCAGTTTAATCATCTTCTCTAACAATATTCAATTTTATCGTTAAATGAGATGACATCAGTGCCGATGTGGTATTCATATACTGACGTGTCAGTTTCATGTGACAATGATGACGAGGTAGATCAAGAAAAAAAATTTCAAAAAAAAATCTATGTTATGTCATAAGGACTAAATTGAACAAATACATATAATACAAAGACTACATTGAATAAAATTAAGGTGTTGAAAAACTAAATTAAAAAAATATTTAAAAAGTATAAAATTTTAAGTAGATGATACATATACTTATTAATAAGTCAAATGTTTAAACGTAAAAGATTTATGGTGTTAAAAATTACATATAAATATTTTCTTATTTGATTATTTGATTTCAAAATATGCATATTAATTTATCTTTTTTGTAAAAATTAAATTTAAATTTCTTTTCTATGGAAAAAATTTTGAAAAAAAATTTCATACTTAAAGCCATATTTGAATGAATAGCTGACATTATATTAGAATAAAATAATATAAAAAGACTAAATAAATTCTTTTTTTCTACTATTTGTAATAGTATAAAAATTTAAAATTTTTATTCCAAATTCAACATAGTTTTTAACTTGAATTGAATTCAAAACAAAATAGGTTGATTTAGTTATAACTTTCATAATTTACAAATACACTTTCTTTTAGAATTATTCAACTCTTACCCAATTTACCTTTTATTTAAATTTACTCAAAGTTTTTGATAAAATGATTTTATTTAAGTTAAAAAACGATATTTGGTATGAGGTTATGCTAATCTCTATGAGGTATGGGGGCTTTAAGTTCGCAACAATTAATTGATGAATTAAACTTCTAATAAGAAAAACGAAGAATATAGAAGAAGATTGATGGTGGCAAAGAGAATAGTAGTTATTACTTTTATAATTGTAAAAATAAAATCTTAACTCCAAGCATTTTTAAAGTTTGCATAAATGACGATATTGTCCTTCTATAAGTATATATCTAAGATAAAATATTAAAAATTTGTTTATAAAAAGAAATTCAAACTTAATTTTTACAAAATAGATAAATTAATGTACCTATTATGAAATCAAATGATCAAATAAAAAAATATTTATATATATTTCTTAACACCATAAATTTTTTTCACTTAAACATTTGACTTATTAATAAAAATATATATCATCTACTTAAAAATTCATATTTTTTAAAATATTTTTTCAATTTAGTCTCTAAACACTTCAATTTTGTTCAATTTAATCCATGCATTATAAATTTTTGTTCAATTTAGTCTCTATAGCATGGCATAAATTTTTTTTGAAAACTTTTTTCTTCTTAATCTGCCACGTCAACATTATCACATGGTATCGATACGTCAGCATATTAATTGCATATTATAATCTATTATTTTTAACATCAATGTCAATTTATTTTATTTAATTTACTTTAATACATAATCTACCT